ACCATCTCACCAGCAATGCAAACTAGATGTATGGATAATAGTTTTAGCTGGCCGGATACGCTGCTATTACAGGTTTATCTTTGATGGAAGGTGCCTTTTATAGCATTAAGAGAGGCCAGACAAAGAAAGGATTGTAACGCAGATATCTGGAAATAAGATTGTGGACGTTTTAAGCCTGAAAAAGAGCATGGCTTCAATATCTTCCATCATTAATCATTAAAAAGGAAGTCTGGGTTTGTGGACCCTCGTTTCCTGTGGTTGGAAATGGATTTCTACCCTCCGCTGGCAGCGCTAATCTATTTACATACTCAAAATATGTTCATCCACGCTATTCTTCTAAAACCAGAAAAAGACGTCTGGTTTTTTTGTTTGTTTCTCGTCGCTGTTTGAATAGTAATGTTTGGAATCTCTGTAGCTCTGTTCAAACAGGTGCAGTAGATCAGCCAACAAGAAAATACATATAGTAAAGCAGATCATTTAAGGAGACTGACCCTGCTGCTACAAGTGTGAGCGAGCATGATTTGTGTCATGGCTGCAGCTTAAAGCCAAACTGTGACAAATTGGATGAGAAAATGAAGTTGTCACTGAGCCAGAGGGGTCAATTTGCACATTTGGGTTCAGCTATATTGTCTGTCACGGGGTCAGAGTAACATATAGTAATGTTTATGCACCCTGGTGTCTTGAAATTAAGCTTTTTTCCACAGGTGTGAACACCTGGCAGTCCACTAGTCTGTTGATAAGTGTGGAATGGCTTTATAAAACGGCCTGCCAATACCGACTGCGAGTAGGTATTATTACGGGGAATGATCTGTCAATAAGATTCCATCTCCCGACTGGAACACTGGATTGTGTTGGCTATATCTCAGCAATAACTCAAGCCTAATTGACGGGGGCCTATGCCGCCTCCTGGGGCACGAGAGAGCTGACAGAGTGAGAATGGAGATTAAGGAAGGAAGTGAAAGAAGGTGAGGCGAGGGAATGAGCTGTGTGTGCGTGTTAGGGGGGTTGGGGGGGCTGGAGGGGGTCGCGATGGATGAGCCGGCGCAGAAGTGATGCGCAAGGGATCGCCGGTCAACTCGCAACGAGAGCAGGAGCGCTGTCGCTTTCTCCACTTGGCATGTCTGCCGGCCCTGACAGCAATCCATTCGAGGGCCTCCTGATGCTAACAGAGTGCTAAAACCCAATCAAACAGGCTCGAAGGAGCCGGCTCCCACTTGTGTGAGCAATTCACCTTCGACTGACCCGTTCGGGCGTCTTAAATAAGCCATGCGCATCAAGGAGAGCAGAAAAGTCACACTCGGGGACCTGAAGACAGCCGTGTGTCCGTACGAGCAGGAGAGTGTTTTTGAAATCAGATCACACCATATTTTCTCTTGTCAAGGTCAAAGGTTTGTTTCTTGGAAACAACTTAAACACCCAGAATAAAGAGTCCTTTATTTGTTTACAGCCTCTCATTATGACTATAATAACAATTATTATTATTTCATGTGTGTCGTTTAAGATTTATGGTAACTTGGGTCAAAAACGAAAAAACGAACAAATTTTTGTTGTTGTTGAGCTTAAGAGCAATGCACTTTACTCAATGTCAAGCTGTCAGCGTAATATCCTACTGAGATCAATTAGGACCACCAATAAAAATATCATAATAGGTCATGAAATAAAGCAGATTAGCCTTCATAATACTAAACGCAATACTCAGAGCAACTCTTGCTATGTTAATCCCCTGCGTCAGTGCAAGCACATTGATCAAGGGCTGGGTCCTTGTGACAGGATTGGTGACAGATGCACTTGTGCAAATTAAAACAATACTTTGAATTTATAGCTTTTTGCAGCTCTTTATCTTGGCTGATTAATAGAAGACCAACAAGCCATTGGAGGGGGGAGGGGCTGCAGGTTTATTTTTCCCCATTTGCTGTGTGTTTTCCGGAAAGTGAGGCAAAGATTGATTCTATTACTCGTGCTTTGTCTTGACAGGAAAATAGTTCCTAGCTGGAACAAGAAGGCAAGAGATCAGAGCAAGACATATTTCAATAAAATCTTCAGTCAGTCATGCACCGAGACTCCCCCTCCACCCCCTCAACAGGATTACAATCTTTTTAAAAAAAATCAGTGCTTACCACCAGCGCCGCTACAGTTGACACCACCTCAAAGAAGCTGCTCGAGCTCAACAAAAGATCAGAGGAAGTTAGCCAGTAAAAACATAATGAAATGGCATCTGTCACTACTGTGTTGGATGGAGTCCACTGGCACCCTGGTTTGCTTTGGTTTTCATAACTCCCCTTGAAATGTTTGGTGAGAATGTAATTAGCTAGCACTGGGCAGGCACAGCCTCGTTCGAGATAGGCTTCTCTGTTTTCCTCTTCTCCTTCCCTCCTGCACACAGTATTAATTCTGACAAAACGGTAATTAATATTTCCCCTCCATTGTTGAACAGGAGAGGGGACGTGATTGTCGGTGCCAGCAACCAAACAAGGGCACTGCCAGGCTGCCCATCTTGCCAGCTTTTTATTTTCGCTGAGAGAAAGTGTTTTTCAATAAGCCAACTGAGTGGTGTTCACAAAAAAGGAAAAAAGTTGTGTTTTTTTTGGCGGAGTTGGTCCTGGTTAACTCTTAAAAAACCAGTTTTAAGACACACATGCACAAACTTAAAGGTGCATTAAGTCGGGTTTTTTTTTTAGGTTATTTAATAGAAAAAATAATATTATATTCAAATATACATTGATTAGGGTTTAATTAATCGATGTGTTCTCAAAAACATCTATTAAAAATACATACAAGTGGGCGCTCTTTTGAAGACGCTGTCATGTTGCCCCGTCATCTTGAACACAGTGGCCGAGGTGGACATTGCCCTTCCACCCATTTGTGTTTTACCTATGTGGCTAGAGGTGGTCAAATATGTAATATTCGAAATGCAGAGGGGAACTCGAAGGTGTCCACTTGTAGTGGAGGAACATTCACTGAACCTTCAAAATATGAGGAATCTTATTTGTGTTTTACTTTTATGGAGAAGAGGTCCGCTTCGCCAAAGAAGTAAAAACACGAAGGAAAAAGACAACATCACTGGCATCAAAATGTCAACCTCTTCCTCTTCACCTCAGGCCTCATCTCCTGAACTGAAGTTCGAGTTCTAACACAAAAAAACGTGCTTATTTATTACCAAAATTGTCACAGTTACTTACTGTCCTCAGATTACTCCTGTGACCCTCCCATCTCTGGACAGCTGAAAAGCAAGCTGACTAAACAGCAGCCAGCTAAGTTTACCAAGCATCATTCACTAAGATCCAGCGTTAGATCCATTTCAAAAACCGTTTCAGCAACGCTAGCTAACAGCGACAATAACAGCAGCGCTTACTGACAGAAAAGCCCACGATATCCTCAGTATCGATATCATCAGACAGAAGTAAGCGTCACTGACTCATCGAGTCGTATCATCATCAGACTCTTTATTATAGGAATAAAGTCACTACTGATGGGAAGTGGCCAAAGCTGTGGACTCGGGAGCAGTGTTGGGCAAGTTACTTTGAAAAGGTAATTAATTATAGTGGCTAGTTACTTCTTCAAAAAAAGTAACTGAGTTAGTAACTGTTACAAGATTCTAAAAGTAATTAATTACTTGAAAAGTAATTATTGCATTACTTTAAAAAAAAAAAAGTCTAACCCTCTGGGGTCCAGGGTATAATTGGCCATTTTTAACTACTTTTGATTTTCCCTCCACATTTCACCTTTAAAAACTATTTACTTTGCCTTGTTTGGTATCATTCTTTTCAGCACAACCTCACGTGTCTGAATTTACAGTTATGTTTTCATTTTGATGCACTGTATTAACACAATTGATCTAAAATCAGACAAAAACTTAAAATCTGAGTAGAAAAAGTTCTATTTTTCACTGTAACAACCACAAATATGTTTATTGAATCATATTTTATAACTATAACTAACTAATAGAAATTGTCAATTTTAAAATCATATGCACAAGTTTTGTAAACAAAGTTATTTGCAGCCATTCACCTTTTACCCTCTTTTTTTAATAACCATTTCAAACTATTTAGATAACAATCAGCTGTTCTGCATTCAATAAGATGCCACAAATTATTTGTGCCACTCCGAATATTTCTGTCCACTCGCTCTCTCTCTTTTTCTGCTGTCTTTCTTTCTCTCTCTCTTGCCGTCACCCCTAAAACTTACCCCCTCTTCCTAAACAGCCAAATCTCCCGACGTGGCCTATCAACACAATTTAAAAACTGGTATATATCACCTTGTTGCTTTGTCATCTTAAAGTGGTCGTGTGATTGGCTTACCACGACTACTATATTCTTCCTCAGTCCAACAGCAGCACTCATGTGATTGTTTTGCCCCCTTAGCTCCAGGCTAAGGGGGCAGTGATCGTGATTACTGTCCGCGGGAGCGCGCGCAGCTGCTTAAAGCTGTAGCGCCCAGATTACTTACAGCAACTGATATAAGGTGCAGTAAGCTGAACACAGCTTCAGCCGTCTGTTTGTTGAAAAACAGTAACGCAACTGCACCGCATTTTCTAGTTAGTAACGGTAACGGCGTTGTAACGATAGTAATAGTAATAAGTTAGATTACTCGTTACTGAAAAAAGTAACGCCGTTATTCCCATCACTGCTCGGGAGGGTGAAAACATAAAATACTGCAAAATATTTAATTGATGTTTTTTTAAATTCCCGATTCATTGTAAACTGTTGATATTATTCAAATATAGTTTGTACTAAAATGTGTTTTTAGACGTTGTGCCTGTTGGATACATGGGGTACAATCTAAATAATTCTCTCTCTCTCGGCTGACTAAAACATGTTTGTCCTGCAGCAGCCACCGTAACGACAATAATGCACTTAAATTTGAAGGAGAAAGCAAACAGAACTCTGTTGAATGCAATCGGCGATGCACTGACATCTAGTGGTGAAATTTTACACACTGCACCTTTAAGTAAAATAACATGTATTATGTCTTACGTCATTTCATTTTTAAAAATTTTTCAGGATGTGGGGGATGTGGACAGGAAAGCCAAAGAACCACTACAGTCAGATGGTCTATGAGAATGGAGAGCCCTGCTGGCAAGGAGGTTCACGCAGTACTACAGTAAGCACAACAAACTGTATATGTCTTTAATCATCCTTTACAGCCCAAACCCTCTTACAGTAATGAGAGCACCAAGAGGCAGACATGAATAACAGATATTCAAATGAACAAATGGTATACGCACACACTGACAGACTGTCAGACAAGCAGATGGAAGGATGAAGGCTGCGCACAACTCATTATAACTCCACCCAAAATAAAAGATGGGATAGAGAGCCTATTTTATTTGAATTCAGTTGGAGAATAATTTAGTAATTACACTAATGTTTCCTCTTGTTTTATAAGCAGGGTACCAGGAGCAGAGCTACCACCCTGCACATGCAGGCAAGGCTGCAAATCTTATTGTAGTTCTAGGGAAAGCAACAAGATGAACACTTGACTCGACGCCAAGTCAGAGCGGGGTAAATGGACACTGCACTAAGAGAAAACTAAAGGAAACAGGCAAACTGAGCTCCTTCTGTTAACCAGGAAATAAAATGAGATCTGTGTCCCCTGGTCTGCCTCATCCCGGGCATGAGCATTTCAACAATCAGGATCGAGTCAATCAGTCCTCATGGCGTGCTCAGCAGCCTGGCAAAAATATGTTATGTCCAGAGCCAAGTGATTGAAAGTGACTTACCCCCCCCGACATGCACACTTTGTCAGTCTGCACTGGTTTTCATGGTTAATGTTGCTGCTCCGTTTGCATTCTTCTGCAGCATTCTCCTCTTCAACATATTCCCAGCATCATGCCCTCTCTGAGCCAGTCTTTATGACATCCATTTGCATTTGTGTGTGAGAAATTTGCTCAGTTAAAAATAAAGGACATTTAATCATCTGGTTTTCTGTGCCTGGCCCCCCTCTTCAAATCAGTCCAATAAATGTCATTTGCAAATGCATGTACTCATGCCATCCAGGCCCCCCTTTGAAAACACTAAATTGAAGTCCTTTGATACGACCCCCTAACTCTGCGCAGACGGCATAAATAAAGTCTTGTCAGAAGTAGACGCTCATTATATTTGAAAGGCTGAACCTCAGCTTTGGGTAGCACACTCTTTCATTGCAGCGTACCATCATGTATGCTGGAGAAGAGGCGCCAGTGATGTATTGTTTTGCTGGTGGATATTGGGGTAATCCAAATTCAAGCGGTGCACAGTTTATCTTGTGTGTCTGTGGGGAAAGGTGAACTCAACTCTTTCAGTTATTAATTCTGTGTCTGTGGTCATTAAGCACGAGCTACAGCTACCACAGCCGGATCTAAACTAGCTCCTTTCATTGACTCATTCATGGATAATTCCAGATTATTACATTTGCGATCACTGACTGTGATTTTGACAGTATTGTAGTCACAGAATGAACTGCTGAACTCTGAGTGTGGGTTAGCGTTGCTAAATACGTGGGTAATAAACCCCTGAACAGGTGACCAAACCACTTGTTTTAAGAATTTGAAGAGAAAACCTAAGCCAACAAGAACACAACAGCAGTCACCTCAAGGCTATTTATATTATAAGGCAAAGACCCTACAATAATATAGACAAAAACCCTGACAATCACATGACCCCCGTGACCTCTGGCAGAACCAGGGTCAGGGAGGAGAAGAGGGAGCCAGGACAAAAGACACACTGTAGGAAAAAGCCAGAGATTAATAAACACTAATGATTAAATCCAGAGTGGTGTATAAACACAGTGACTGAAGAAGAACCAGTGCATCATGGGAAGCTCCTAGCAGTCCAGGCTTATTGCAGCAAAACTACAGTAAGGATTCAGGGTCACCCGATCCAGCTCTAACTATGAGTTTTATCAAAAAGGAAAAGCACAGAGGGTGTTTTTCCTCCAGAATAATATTTTTAGTATATTTAATGGGAGTTTGCAAAATTTAACTTTCATACTATGAAGCTTTTGCAGATTACAGGCCCTGCATGTACTTAAGCATGGTTTGAAATTTTAGTGCTTTTATTTGACTTATTTTTCTCAGCATTTTTGAGCACTCGTAAGTACAGCACTGACATTTGCAGGGCTGAATAACACATTTAATCTCTGTTAGAAACTGCAACCCATTCAATTGAGGGTTCAGAGCACAGGAAGACTGGGCAAAACAAGCTGTGGTAGAGAGAAAACTTTTAATGAGATGCAGCAGTGATGTAAAAACATATGGGGAGTCAGTGCATGATCAGCAGCCCCCACCAGCCTACCTGCAGCATAGCATAGGGATAGTTTAGGGTCACCTGTTCTGGCCCTAGCTGTAAGCTTTACATTCACCGAGGAAAGTTTTCAGTGAAGAAAACCGTAAAACTTTCAAGGGTCATATCCCCACAGAGGAGAACTAGCTGACCAAAACAAGTCATAGCATATGATGAAGAATACATCGGTATGCAGACTGGAGCAGCGAGGGATCGAACCACCAAACCTTCATTTGATCGATGACCTGCTCTACGTCCTGAGCTATAGCTGCCCCGGTGACTAATCACGTGTTGTGGCGTCACTGTAAAATATACGGTTTAGGGGCTTCCAGACAATTAATGCAGAATCCGATCTGTATCCATGGATCTGGATTTCCCACAGTGCTGCATAACTGCCTGTTAATCAACCAATTCTTCCACACTTCCTCGTAAGATGTGTTTTCTACTACTGCTGTCTTACATTATTACATGTAGTGTATCAAAGGATAAATCGCCACCAAGACTGAGCTATCGCTCCTTCACCTGCAAATTAAAACCAGACCGCTAATACTCATGGACAAGCGTGACAGAAAAGACTTTGTCTCATCAAGCAGCGCACACCCACTTAATATCTCAGTGCAACAAGATACTAAGTGACATAACAAAAGACTATTTTAGTCTCCCTACGGGACAAAGCCAAATCACCACTTCTACTAGCCTGAAACTTCTGCACAACAATACCTGCCAGGTTCCCATCTCTGCCTCTTCAGGTGCTTTTGTTCGCCAAAGGGATTGTCTGTTCAGGGTGCTGAATGATGAGAGGGGTTGCCATGGAAACCACTCCCAAGTAAAAGAAGTTGTTTTCCCCTCCGCTCTCTTGCAGGGGGCGTCAAAGTCACCTATTAAAGTCGTGACAGCAGTAATCGCATCCTCCCCCTGTCCTGTTCGCTCGCGGGGACGACAGCGGCGGTGTCCCATAAATCCACGCTCGCTCTTACTCACAGAAACACTTTGCTTCACGCAAAGTCACAACAAGTCAGCGGTTCCTTCTGTATAATTTTGTCATTTGTAGCAAGCCCCACTTCTTCGCAAAACTTTAAGAGAGGTTGTAAAACAAGTGGCAGGTCAACTTTAATCAGCTCCCTTTGTGTGATCAAACTGCCACGGCTCTTGACTCAGGCTAACAATGGCTCTTCTCAACCTCAACTTCTCTTTCTTTGTGCTTTTCTAGGTCACACTGACATGCGGAACGGAGACAGCCTTGCGATCAGTGAAAGAGCCCAGCAAATGCCAGTACATCATGGACTTTCAGACTCCTGTGGCCTGTCAGCCGGTGCTAAAGCAGCAGGGTATACACAGTGAACTGTGACCCATTCCCTTACTGGCCTAGCCCAGAATAACTTGGACCCCTTCCTCTCTTCTGCTGGCCCGCGGTGACAGGCTGGGGTCCTGAGGGTCCCCTCTGACATCTGTGTTGTCAGAACATATATACTTCCAAGGCAGTCTGGCTAAGGTCAGAGTCTGGTTTTCAGTAGCCACTTTAGTTTCCATTGATTGTTACAGTGCTGCTTTCTTGCTGTTACACTTTAATATCTAAATAGAGCATTTACTGAATGATTTAGTTAACGCAACGTGTTCAACATTACTGTGTATTCCCTGTAAGTGTTTGCACTCAATGCTCAGCAATAAGCAATATTACTGTGTAAATAACGGGAGAAAGTGAAACCCAATCTATTGTAGGGTCTAAACACATTTCTGCTAATGTAATTGTCATTTTAAATAACTGCTCAGTAATATGCACAAATAAAAGGACTGTGTCCTTGCTCTTCATTATAATGACTGCCTTATAAAAATAGCCTTCCTTAACATCGAGGATATGTTGTATGTTTCTTATGTTGAGCAAATGAAACTTATAAATAAATCAGATGATCTTCCCAGAAGGAGCTGCATGTTCAGCCGTTTCCTGGTGCAGTTTAGCATAAAGCTAAATGATTCTGTGAAAACTACAAAACAAAAACAAACAAAAGAGTTGTCGCTCTGGTTGACATTTTTCCTCATTGCAGTAAACATGTACTTTATAATTTATAGTCCCTTTACTGTAACAATTCAGTACCAAATGTGTGTTGTTCCACAGCTGAAAACAGTTCCCAATAAATGTTTCTTACTACTCCTGAAACCAACAATACCCAGCTCTTATAGGCTTCAGTCACACAGGCCTAGAGACTGGTTGGCAACCTCTGATCACTTATAGAAGATTGTGTATTTCACATTTGCTTTGGTGGACACCAACTTGTTTACAAACACTCACCAACTACTTGCCAAGCGGTAGCGAAACTTGGGCTACGTCCACATGTATGCAATGTTTCGATCACTGAAGACCGAGATTCTTATAAATTCCTGCCAGGATTGAGATTTTAGAAAACTCGTTTTTTGCGTTTACTTGTGGACGAGGAAAACTGAGATTTAGTCACGCTACGTCAAAGGTGTGCGCCTTTTATGATGACGCTGTGCGTACATGAGATGAATTTCTACAGTGGCGGATATGAACAAAACACTGTTGCTGTTAATCTTACTATCTGCAGTTTTTACACTCTTACATATACACACACAGTTACTGCCCCTCCATTTAGAAAGACTGCTTCTTTGCGCCATCTTTGTTTCCTCTTCTAGACTTCTGATTGGCCAACCTTTCTACACAGTTAGGATTATAGCACCACCTGTTGCTTTGTTATGTCCTTGACAGCTTTTGACTTCGTTTTTTATTTTTACATGTAAACGAAAACAGAAAATCTCAGTTTACAAAAATACCCGTGTACGTATCTTTGGATGTACAAACTAAAAATGGAAACTCTTCACTTTCAAAGTAAAAGTTGTGCCTTTCTGCCGAAACCAGCACATTTCAACTTTGACATAAAGGCAAACAGTCTCCGTTTCCACTTTGTGTTGCACATTTCATAGTGTCAGTACCAACTAGCAAATAGTTGTGTGTTTGCAACCAAGTCGGTATCTTCCATGCTGCTGGCGACCACAGCGACCCAATAAATTGTGAGGTGGTTTTAGTTGCAGCACCGTGCACCTCTTTGTTGCCATTTTTGCCTAGCGACAGCAAGCAACCTCCAGCAACCGTTTGCCAACCATCTATTTTTACAATGCTGGAATGTTTCTAACCACAAAAACATGAGAACAAAAGAGGTCCAGTCCAAGTTCAGTGAGTACAAAACAGTTTTTACAGATTAGCGTTGCCTCCAACGAGTGTGGAAGTCAATATTTAAGAAAGTATTAAGAGGTGATTTAAATAATTATTGGCTACAGTTTCTACTCAGTATGAACAATGAACTGAAGTCAGCCATATCCTCCAAGCAGTGTGCATTCCAGTATTTTTTTAACTGTAGACTGACATAATCATAAAACATAATAAAAAACCTTGCCAATAAAAATAGTGGCATCGCTATGTTTTTTTTCCCTCCTAACTGGCTCACTTGAAAACTCATTTCTTAAACACACAGGAGTATATTCTCCAACTGCATTTATTACATTAGCCACACATCTTTCTGTATATTTACATTTTCATTTATTATCGTAGGATTTATTTTTTTTACTGAACGTAGCGCGGCTCGTTTTCAAAGGAGTCCACCGTCCTCAGCGGTCTGCATCGTACAGGGTGTGCTGTCTGTGATGTTGTTATGTAACAGATTGTGGAGTTTCTGCAGCGGAGCCCTCTACTCATTAAGGGGGAGCTAAATCAGCTGTCAGGTATCCAATAGGCTGCCTGATATATTCCTATCCTGCTGGGGCAGCTACGTGGCTGTTTGCCTGCTAGCAATGCAATAGCCTCAGGCTCTGTAGCCCAGGGACTGTTGCTTTTTATTTATCCGGCGTCGGCTCCCATCCGCACACACTGGTTGATGGCGAATCAAACTATTTGCTTTCAGCTTCAGTTTTCAGAATAGCTGTCAATTTTATTGAAGGTGCAAAACAAGTCAGACAAAGGACATTTCTGCCAGAACTTCTCAAAGCCAGTAAAATATGTAACACACATATGCACACTCTGCATTCAGAGTGGAACTAAACACATTATGTTAATACAGCTCAATCTGACAGCTCACAGTAAAATTATTGTATTCTCCTTAGCCTCAAAAAGCCAAATTAAATGATCAGCTAAACTGGCCATAAAAAGAGAATATCAAAACATTAATGGTTGGCATGGTGTTACAATAGCTAGCACCATCAGCTCATAGCAAGATCATGGGTTCGAATCCACCTGCTGGGGCACTGAGTACTTCCCAAAGACCAAAAACATGACTTGTCCACCTCTCGCCCCATCACACCTGGAAAGGCTCCAGCCCCACTGTGACCCTCAACTGGATAAGATAGGATGGATGGATAATCCACTGTGTGTCCCTACAATCTCCAGGAAACAACACAGTGTTTGAGGATTTTAATCTGTTCCCTTACTTCAAATATGCAACAGATGCCAAAGCTGATGTCAGCATAACAACATTCAGCCTTCACAGGCTCCCAAGTCTGGCAGCAGCTGGAAATACTGCCAATCACCCAGACAGTGTCAAGAGCAGCCCTCTGTCTGCTACTGCAGGAGTCAACATTTCATTTCTGGCATCTGGAGAAAAACTTTATATTGCGGCATCGCCATATGGTGATCATGTGATTGGGTGTCATCAAGAACTTTTCCACGGATAAAACCTGTTCTCACAAAGGAACAGATTTGACAATCTGCAGGGTATTAACAACTCCCCACTTTGCTGAATGATCATCATGTGGTAAATTACTTGCGTGCTTCACCCCACACAGCGTGGGTGGGAAACACATTGGAAGATTGCGGTTTAAATGGACAGTTATTAAAAAAAGGAAAAAAAGCTAGCACTGTGTGTTTCTGTACTGGTTTTTTTTTTTTTTATAGCCGAACAGCCAATGATGTGCTGCAGCAGATCAGAAAAGGGAAGGAGGGAGTAGTGGGAAGGACTCAGTAGGGAAGCTGAGCACACACAGACACTTACACACCTCCATTCAGCACATTTGCACATGAAGGGGCAGGGATGGAAAGTCTTTCCAGTTGAGTGTGGGCGTATTTGTGTGTTGACTCCAAATTGCTAAAAGGACCCAGAGGCTTTATATTGCATTAAATCTCCGACTCAGCTTTGTAGAAACTAGTTCAAGGTACCTTGTTCTCTGGAGTGGGAGACAGCGGGGCTCTTGCCTGACTGACTGACTGGTGACTGACTGGTTGACTGACGCCCACCACAACCCAGCACCGCTTTCACTCTTTTGGAGATTGTTTTTAAGCTTCCTCCTTTGAAGGGAGGCCAGTTATACCCTCGGGGCCGAGAGTGAAAAAAAGGGCCTTGGCGTTGAGTCGGCGTGCGACAGTCACATCCAGCTCCCTCGTGTCCGCACTTACTCCAGTCTATTCAGTCAAGATACTGACGCTTCACCGTCAGCCTCTAGCCTACAGATTTTGCACAAACAAAGGTGTTTGTGAGAGTACAGTGAATACAGTTTGTGTGTTCAGGTGTGCACTTCCTGATACAACTCAAAGCTCTGACACGATACTGTTTTACTTCCAAACAAGTCTGTGCGATCATTTCTTCTTTAGAATAGATGCATTTAATCGATTAATTTGATGAATTTAATCTGCCATTCATTACTGTACATTCTTCTTAAATCAGTTTTTACATAATCCTGCAAGAAAATAAATACTCTTCTTTTGTGGTTCAAAGGTATGAGAAGCATTAAGAAACCTCAGCAACTTGTTTTCTGCCCACTGCATATATGTAAGTTCTGTTGCAAACCAGCTGGATCCTCATTGGCACATTTGTCACAGGAATATCGGTATGTTGTCCAGTATGTGCTGCTAATTTTTTGAAAATATAAAAAATTATATAATATAAAAATATCAGTTCTGAAAAAGATGCTTTGTCCCATAGAGCTCCTCTATTGTTTTCATAGTATCACAGCTGAGGGGATGATGGTGCAGGGCCTTCACATTAAGTTGCTAACTAGTTTGGCATTGGACTGTTAAACAGTGTGCTTTATATGCATAAACTTGTTTAACCTCCTAAGACCCGAATTCTTCCACGGCATGCATTTTTAATTTCTCTTTGATATTTGGGCTGATTGGGGCCCGATGAATGTAAAAACAAAGAATTACCAGATTTTTTTTTTTTACCTTATTTTTGTTTTCAAGGAAAATAAGAGTCCTAAATGAGGGTATTCGTCTAAAATTTTGATAGAACAGTAGCAGTATAATGTCCTCGTAAGTGGATATCAGGCCCTTGTAGAGCAAAATTTAGTATTTTGGTCTAAATAACCCAAAATGTGACGTCCACATATGTGGACGCCAGGTCCGAGGAGGTTAAAGAACTGGATTTAAATATCCAGATCTTGATATATCAAGATATACGTCAGGATCTGGTTGTTTTGTGTGTATTTTGTCCTGTCTTCCTCCCTGAGCCTGGTTCTGCCTGATGTTTCTTCATGTTAAAAGGGAGTTTTCCCTTCCCACTGTCGCCAAGTGCTCCTAATAGGAGGTTGTCTCATTTTTTTTTTCTTTGAGGAGGGGGGGGGGGTTGTTTGTCAGGGCCTTTAGCTTACACTATAAAGCAGCTTGGGGCAACTGTTTTTGTGATTTGGTGCTATATTAATAAAATTTAATTGAAAAAATGTGTATTTCCTTGACTGGTTAGCCAGAGGTTATAATTGGTGAATAATTGGTTGGAAACTCCAGCAAACACTCCCCAAGTTAACAGGGAGTCACTGACAGGTCTCTAGGCACGTGTCACTGAGCCTTCAGCTGTTGATTTCACAGCACTCATTCTCGCAGTGCGTATTTGTCCCCAGCTGCCTGTTGGTCAGCAGGCAGTTGCAGACTATGTTAATAAGCTAGTCACTAGTTTATATCCCCTGCTGTTGGGTGGTAGGCAGATAAAATAAGCACAGTTGTGTAGAGTGCTCTGCTGAGGACACAATAAAGATGCAGGCCATTAAAAGGTTGAAAAAGGGATACTGAGCTCAGCAAAGTTGTCTGCGTTTGTCTTAGCTGCTTTCACATCAGTCATTCCATCGCTAACGTTAAACTTCTGACTATCAGCTCCAGCCTGAACCTGTAATGATAATGCTAGCACGAGCACAAGTATTGAAAAGTCTTTCCTTTTGGTAATGAGCCGACTCATTAAAATGTTCTAAATAAGCTTCTGGTCACGGCAGATCAAATAAGGCTGGGACAGCAGAACTCAATGGGTTCAGTAGGTTTATTACTTATGAAATCTACCTTTCATTTGTAAGACGCAGAATGTCTTCCCCTTTCAGAACGTTACAGTCTAACGTTACTTTTGCTCCTCTGTGCCTTAATTGGCAATTGGGAGAAGCTAAGGGTGACTTCTAGTCAGACTTTTTTTAATTTTTACTGCACAGTGTTTGAGAAAAACAATAACTGCACTGACACTGTAAGAAATGCAGTGAGAGAATTAGAGATGCAGATGAACAAAGACTAATATTGACGGAGGGTGGGGCAGAGAAGGGGGAGGAGGAAGATACGCAGTCAAATAAACAGCAGTAAAAATAAAAATGACAGCGACCCGGACGATGCTTCAGGGAAAAC